AGGCTTGTGGTCCGCCCTGAGAGAAGGCAGGGAGGGGCCTTTCCTGGGGTCTCCATCTGGCTGCCTGTGACCTCACGATGCTTCCTGTCCTCCCCTAGATCCAGACTGGGCCAGCTTGAACCTGGGCGCCCTGATGTGCATTGAGTGCTCGGGGACCCACCGACACCTGGGGGCTCACCTCTCCCGGGTCCGCTCCCTGGACCTTGACGACTGGCCGCCCGAGCTGCTGGCCGTCATGACCGCGATGGGCAACGCCCTGGCCAACAGCGTCTGGGAGGGGGCCCTGGATGGCTATGCCAAGCCCGGGCCTGACGCCTGCAGGTGAGTGGATGGGGGAACAGGGAGCTGGCAGAAAGGGCAGGGGTGTTAGCGCCCCAGATTGGGGCAACGGGGGGTGGCGCGGAGTGGTGACAGTCGTGCTCTAAGGGTTAAAAGTGGCCGTTGCTCTGCTTGGCAGTTGGCCCCTTGGGGTGCCCCTCCCCCTCCCCGCCTGTCACTCAGGCTCCTCACAACAAGAGGCCCTTTCTGAGCCTTATCAGCAGGTCAGGGGCCAGCGGGAGGCGCATGCGCAGGGCCCTATCGCTGGTGGCGTGAAGGCCGGAGCCCGAGCCCGGAGATGGGGAGAATGGGTGGGAGATAGGCTGGTGCGTGGGCCCCGTGGAGGCCCCCCACCCGCTTTGTTCCAGCAGGGCCAGATAAGCCACCAGGGGAGCCCTGCCCGGAATCCTGCTGCCCTCTCAGCCCCCGAGGGGCCTCCCTTCAGTGTTCCTTCCTTTCAGCCGTTTCCACCCGCTCTGCACTGCCCCTGCGCGCCGGCCCCGTCTCGGGCCTGTCTCTTCACTGCTCTGTCCTACGCTTCCTCTGTTCCTTCCGATTCCCCTCCGGGGTGTCGTGTCAGTCCCCGAGCACCCTCCCCAGCCCCCACCCGTTGGCTCGGGCCCTTGCTTGGCTCATGCCCTGGTGGACCTGTGTTGCAGAGAGGAGAAGGAACGCTGGATTCGGGCCAAGTATGAACAGAAGCTCTTCCTGGCCCCACTGCCGAGCTCGGACGTGCCGCTGGGTCAGCAGCTGCTCCGGGCCGTGGTGGAGGACGACCTGCGGCTGCTGGTGATGCTTCTGGCTCATGGGTCCAAGGAGGAGGTGAACGAGACCTACGGGGACGGGGATGGGCGGACGGCTCTCCATCTCTCCAGCGCCATGGCCAACGTTGTCTTCACGCAGCTGCTCATCTGGGTGAGTTGGGGGCTCCCTGTGGGCCTTTCCAGTCCCGCCCTCGAGGGCTCCTCGGACCTGTCTGATCTTTTCGCCCCGGCCCTTTGAAAGCCACCTCTCCTTTTTTCCCCAAGAACCCCCACTGTTCTTGCCACGTCATGCCAACTGTGACATTGTGCTTTCTTCTGCAGTACGGGGTGGATGTGCGGAGCCGGGACGCCCGAGGCCTGACTCCGCTGGCCTACGCGCGTCGGGCCGGCAGCCAGGAGTGCGCAGATATCCTGATCCAGCATGGCTGTCCTGGGGAGGGCTGTGGCTTAGCACCTGCCTCCAACAGAGAGCCTGCCAACGGTACCAGCGCTTCTGCCGAGCTGCACCGAAGTCCTAGCCTTCTGTAAAGCCCGCAGGACTCCGTGGCCTGGGGCCCCTCCTCCCTCCAGGCACTGAGGGGAGCCAAGGCACAGAGACTGAGAAGCGGGGACGTGCGGAAAGGAAGGAGAGGAAATGAAGAGTCGAAGAAGAGCTCGGCGGGAGAGACAAAGGGACCAGAGGCGACATCTGGGATTTGAGCTGCCGCAGAGAGGGAGTGGAGCTACTCTAGCCCTCTACCCTACGGTGCCACTGAAAAGGGACAGGACCCTTTGGAGGTACCTGTGAGGAGAGGGGAGCAGGACCTCTCCCTCCTCCAGATTCCTACCTTCTACTGCCAGCCCCCTACAAGCCTTCATCCTAAAATGGAGCCTGGATGGACAGGGCACAAGTTGGGGGGTGCTGGAGGAAAGAGACGAGGTGGTGATCTGAGAGTCCCGTGTAAATTTGTACATTGGAATATTTATGTTTGTGTACATATCTGGTGTGTGTGTATGATGAGCCAGTAAACCAGACCGTGTGTGGCCTTGTTTTCCCCTCTTCTATCCCCACCCTTCCGCTCTGCCTGTTTCTTTGCTCCTGTCTTCTCCTGCCTGTACTCTGGGATTGCCTTGAGTAGGTCAGTAGCACCGCCACCCCCTGGAGGGCTGCTTTCCCCTCCTCCCACACCCCGCCCCTGCCCTCCGTTACTGCCCCACCACCAGCTGGTGTCCAGTAACCTTGTGCCACACCTGGTGCCAGCCAGAGCTCACCCAGAGAGGGGACAGAAGTGTCATCCCCTTTCCTAAGAGTCTGGGAACTAGCTATACAGCCAGACAGACGTCCAGGCCACAGGACCAGAATTCTGAGGATGCCATAAGGGTAAGTGGCTAGATGTTATCAGGCCAGCCCTTCTCTAGGGACCCACGCCTAGGCTTTGCTTTAGAGGAAAGGGGAGGAGGTAGGTCACTGATGGCAGAATAGCCACTTGGATTCCCAGCAGCACCTTGCCAAGCTGGGGGCAGAACCCTGAGCTCCCGGTTTTCCCTTTGACTAGCCCTGATCCTAGAAAGACCTGAGGGAAACACCTTTATGCCTTTCTTGAAGGATGAGAACTTGCCAGGTTAAGGTCCCTGCTCTCTAAGGAGCTTACCTTCCATTCCTATAACCACTTTGCTGGTGGCCCTTGTTTTCTGCTGCCCTTACTGAGCTGGGTGTGGCGGGGCTGGCGCACTCTGGGGGCACCTGCCTGCCTATAGGGAGATAACCAGGCAAATGCTACACAGAGGAAACCAGACTGTATTTTCTTGATTCACAGCCCCTCTGCAAGGCCAATAAGAGCCTTAAGCAAAAAGAGCAGAATTAAACAGGGCCTTGGGTATATATACGAATGAGTTCCTGGGCTCAGAAATTATTAGCAATAATCACTTCCTTTATTTTACCTAAGGAAAACCAGCCGCTCCAGTGGCTGTATTGTGCCTGGTACAGTTTAGGAGGCTTCATAGGTAAATCCAGAGGAAAACAGTCATCAGGATCTTGGTGTCCCCCTAGCCCCGACCTGCCCTGGGGCAAAGAGCCAGAGAGTATCTGCTGTGGCCCTAGACCTGTAGACATGAATTCCCAACTGCCAAAGTGACAACAGCTCCTGGGATCATCAACCACTGCCTGGCTTTACTCCTAAAAAGAATTGAACCCTGTAGGTTCCTTATCTGGGCAGAGACCACCTTAATCTAGGTCAGGAATGGGGCTGGCCTGGACGGCGTATTTTAGCCTAACGGTCAAGGCTTGCTGAAATTTAGCCAAATAGAGAAGACCTGCCCTGGATCTGTGTGTCCCAGCTAGGGAGCTGTGGCGCGGCGGTGAATAAGCAGTCACAGCCCCAGGCCGCGTTCTGTTGGGTCGCCCAAACCAGGCAGGAGGAAGGGACGGCCACGGAAGGCCTGTCTGCTCCTCCGAGGTGGGCGGCAGATGGCTTGAGTAAGCAGTGGCTGGCAGGCCACTCCTGGAAGCGGGAGCAGCGGCCGTTTTCCGGGGACGGTGAGGAGGCTGGCCAGGTATCTGACCCAGCTTGTGTTTCCCTCCCTGACCTTGACCTGAGTCTCCTTGCCCTGCCCAGAGGATTGCCGGTTTCTCCTCTCGGTGGCTCTGTTCTCTGCCCTAGCTCTCCTCCCAACTCAGCGCAGGCCACGTTTCTCCCCGGGAAGCCCTGCTTACCACACTCCCAGCTGCGGCTGGTTCCTGTATCACTCCTCTTTCCCCCGTGTCTGCAGCCCCGCTCCACGGCTGGCCCAGGAGAGGAGCCCTTCTGCGAAAGTGGGGGAAATGGCAAATGACTTTAGTTACTGTCTTGTTTCCCCTCACAGTATACCCAAGTGCCCCTGAAGACTCCTGACCTCACACTGACTTTGTCCGCTGAGGCGGTCCTTCGTTTGCTCTTAGAATCCCAGCCCCGAAGCCCCCAGGCCCTATCTCTGCGGCTGTCCCCACGGTACACAACCGTCCGGAACATCACACATTCGCGCCTGCCTCATCCCTTCTGCAGTGGGCCCTCTCGACCCATCTCGTTTTATAACCGAGGAGGATTTGGTATCCCAAGCTACATGACCCACGCGATGGGCCCAAGGAGACCCACGATTAATGCAGTAAGAACAGAACTGGAAAGGAGTCTGACTCCAGGCCCTCCCATCTGGAAATTCCACAAGGTTGCTGAGACGGACTCGGCTGCTGTGTCCTCTGCACGGAAGAAGGGGATTGAGCTCACTGGTGGTCAGGGTGAGCCCCCAAGCTGCCCCAGTCACGGACAGGACTGGTCACCTCTACCGAGTTAGAGCCTGGACATCCCTCCGCCAACCCAGGGTCAACCACTTCGTTTCCCCTCGTGATACGAAAGGGAGCAAATCTCTCCTGACGTCTGCCAGCTCTCTCCAAGAGAAGAAAGCAGAGATGAAGAAGCTTGCCTTGTTTAATGGGGAGAGGGAAGCGCTGTGGCGGGACATGGGTCGAGAGGTGTGGACAGTGTGGGCAGCACCCAGACGGGAAGTGGAGGTAGTTGACAAGGGGAGACAGTTATGCTGAGGGGTTCTAAGGAGGTTAGTGACAGTTTCTATTTCTTCGTGTGCCCTGTCCGACAGACAGACAAGATAGGCCCCAGCACGAGGCAGGTAGGTGGACCTGAACCCTGGCTGAAGATGGAGGGGACACAGTCCTTTCCCAGCCTCGGGTTCAGACAGACAGACGGAGACGGGTAGCTCCATATATACAAACTTTACAGAAAATAAATAAGGAGCTGCGATCAGCTTGGCTAGGCTTCATCCTGAATTCTCCCCACCCCTGTGAGAAGTCATTCCTGGGAACCTTCCAGGCCCTCGGCGTGTTAGAACCCACCCCCTCCCCAGGAGTCCTCGATCCCCACAGCAGCTCAGCATCGAGCACCCAAGCCCCTTGCACCCTGAAGCCCCCAGCCTGAGGGGCTCTGGAATAGGCTCAGGGCCCAGTGCCCGAGTCCCCGGTTGCCAGGAGAGCACAGCTAACACTAGAGTCAGTGGCCGCCCGAGCCCCCTCCCAGGGCAGGATCACAGCGGGAGCCCCTTGGGTGCACAGAACCTAACCCGGTCTCCGGGCAGGCCCGGGAACAGATGCTTTGCTTCGGAAATCTTTGGGAGCCCTTCAGGGCCGGGCCCCCTGTTCCATTTGTTGGTGCTGGCTCCGCACGGCAAACCTGTTGACGTGCACAGGAATGGGGACGACAATCTTGGGGTTTCTCACGGGCTCCCCGGAGCGGCTGCTCACGTTGCCGGCTTTGATGCGCTTCCACTTGGCGCGCCGGTTCTGAAACCAGATCTTGACCTGCACCTCGCTGAGCTTGAGCGCGTGCGCGATCTGGGACCGCTCCGTGAGGCTCAGGTATTTCTTGCAATGAAACTCCTTCTCCAGCTCCAAAAGCTGCTCGCTGGTGAAGGCTGTGCGGCGCCTGCGGCTTTTGCCCCCCGGAGCTGTGACTCCTGCGGCCACCGGTGCCCCCTCCTCTGCTCCAGTCCCCAGGCTTCCCTTTAGCTTCGGTTTAGGTCCCAGGAGAGCCGCGGGGCCCCCTGCAGAACTGTCCAGGAAACCGTCGTCTTCGCTGTCACCGCCCGAGCCCTCTTCCTCCTGCTCGCTGCCTGCTGGGTCTCCTGCTCGGGCCTCCGGCTTCTCCTCATCAGAGCTGTACACCTTCCCCTCTGCTGCGGGGAGCGCAAACCAACGGATGGGCAAGGAGCAGGCGAGGAAAAGGCAGCAGGTTGGAGGAGGCACGTGGAACCACGGCCAGGCACGGACAGAACGGCAGCAGGAAGAGACAAGGAAGGGATGCGATGGGGAGGAGGGGAGACGAGGACAGCACATCCAGGATGTGGGGTGGGGAAGAGGTTCAGGGAAGACAAAGAAATGGAAAGAAAGGTATTAACCAGCACAGATTTCACCGTAACAGGCGTGGGGAGGGGGCGGTCAGTGTACATCAAAGGGATGCTACTCCCGGCTTCAACTTCACTGTCACCCACCTCATTTTCCCGACCCACTAGCCTTCCCAGCTTTCTCCAGACCCTGGGCCAAGGGCTTTTCACTCACTTGCCACCCCTCCAAATCCAGACAGCATGGGTGCCAGCGTCAAGCAGTGTGGGCCTGGCTCTCCAGCCTTCCTGCTGCTCTAGGCAGGACGCAGTGCTAACGTGGGGTAGACGGGGAGATCACACTGCCGGCCTGTTACTCTCCTGGGGACCCTCACCTGCCCCGGGCTTGAGCTCTGCTCTGGCTTCTGGCTTCCCACTTCCCCTCTTCCCCTAGATCCAGGATCTCAGAATCTCATTTCCAGATGGAAACTTAAGGGTCCTCTGATTCCCCATTCTCACCGGCCCCGCCACCGCAAGTCTGGGCCCAAGAAATGTTACCAAGGGATTTGGGTGGGTCCTTACCCCTACTTCCCGTTCTCCGTGACCAACCCAGCCAGCGCAGAAGGGCGCGCCCTCCCAGCGCAGAGCTTCTCCCCGGGCCTCAGCTCTCCTAGGCCCCTTGCAGTCTCCCCTCCTCAACCGTCAAATGACATCTGTCTCCCAACCAGGACGCGGGAGCAGCACACACAGCTGCTTTCTGCTCAAGTTCCCAATCCAGAGGCCCCTGAGCTTGATGTCAGCAGGACGAACTGGAGGGAAGGTGGCAGACGATGAAGAACGAGAAGGGCAACAAGGGAAAACGGTAGAAGAAATCTGACTCACTTGGTAGATGACTGATTACAATCATAGCCATAGCCGATGTTTTACATCTATATGTAACTCTAATACTTAATTCAGTCATCAGTTTTAATCTCATCCGCGGACAGTTTTGTCAGAACGGCAAGTGACGGATCGCAAATGTTTTCAGCAGCAGAGTTGTACAGCTGCCTTGTTTTCTGCCCAAAGAGCCAATAAGCAACGAAGAAAAGTCAGAAGGAAACTGGCCAGTAGGGAAGCGAGCAAGAGGAACTAGGCAAGCGGGACACCGACGAGTCCGCTCGCTGCCCCGGAGCTCACGGTGTGAAGGGGCTGGGGTTTCCCCAGGGCGGAGCGCCTCTGTCTGTAACCACCGCGCCTTGCCCGGACCGGGGGCGAGAAACAACCCGAGGTAAAAGAACTTCAGGGAACAGTGAGATGCCCTATAAGAGGAGCAGGCCGTGTGCTCTGAACACCTTCCAGCCCCCTCTCCAAGTGCCTGTGCTCCAGAAGGAGCATCTCGGGGTCTCCAGGACCAGCCCAGGAGCCCTCCCCAACCCAAAGTCCCTTCCCCTTCCCGGACGCCAGCAAGTCATACCTCGTCCTGGTCCTAGAGCCTTGTTCACACCTCCCGAGGGGCCAGACTTCTCAGCCCACGTCCAGGTCGCCCACGTCCCTCTCTCAGCGTCCTTCACACCTCAAGGGTATTTTTATCCCCAGCCCCTGCCTTTTGTTCCTGTAGGGCTTCCTTTATTTAATTTCAAAATCCGTGTGGCGCGCCCTGCGCCCTCCTTTAGGCTCATGCAGCCTACCCATCCCTGCCCTGCCTCCGTGAGTGCTCTCCGCTCCCTCTAGCAGCTTCCTGGGCTTCTCAAGCACCCGCGAGACATATGTCCGTCCGTCCCTTGGTCTATCTGCAGAGGTTGCTTCTTGCCATCCATCCCGCGCTTCCTCCCAGACCTCATTCTACCCAAACCCGTGTTGTTTTCTGCAGGAGTCACATCCTTGGTTCTTTCCCTCATTAACAACTCCTCCCCACGCTATCTTCCATTTTCACAGAACTCAGACTTGACATGTCCCAAACAGAACTCCGGACGTCCTTCCCAGCTTGGTTAGTGGGAATTCCATCCTCCTTGTTCCAAGCAGGCTTCACTCCTCTCTCTCACAGCCCGAGCCCGTCCCCACTCACGGAGTCCCCTGCATCCGACAGTCCCGGTCACCATCATGTCCCGCCTGGTTCATCAGCCTGTTCTCCCAACTGGCTTCCCTGCTCTTGTCCTCCCCTGCCCTCCCCTGCCCCTGCTCCCCTCTCCCCTGCTCTTGTCCTCCCCTGCCCTCCCCTGCCCCTGCTCCCCTCTCCCCTGCTCTTGTCCTCCCCTGCCCTCCCCTGCCCCTGCTCTCCTCTCCCCTGCTCTTTCCCCAGATGATTCTTCTGTTCAGAATACTACACTGCCCACCTAGATTTCTGCATTCGCTCATTCCTTGTCTCCCTCAGGTCTGTACTTCACCAAGAAGATGTTCCCCGATCATCCTCTTAGAATGAAAACCCCCAGTACCTCTATCTTCCTTTTCTGCTTTGTAATGATAGTACACATCACCCACATTATTCATTTATTTAACTGGCTGTCTTTTCCTATTAGAATATGAGCTTCATGAAGGTAGGGAGTTTTAATATATTTCTTCACTGCTGTGTCTTCATCTAGAAAATCATCTGCCCAGAGTAGGCACTCAATATATTGCTGACTTGTTGACTAAATAAAAAACTATTCCCAAACACTCTCTCTCTCCCTTCCTCCTTTTCTCTCCGTCTTCTGTCCCCACCTCTGTTCTTCCTTTCCCAAGCCTCTCCTAAAATAGTCCGCACAGCCTCCGCCCTCCAGCGCCCAGAAGACATTGTCTCCATGAGTATCACTCTACCCACTTTCCAGTATGACCTCTGATCTCACGTTAGCCTGGCAGAAGCCCACATGCAGTGGGGATCTCTAGGATCTTATGCTAAAAGAAAGAAAGGGAAATCCTTCACATCACTGCTAAATCCTCTTTCAATTTTTAAAACCCAGTGCATAACAAAAAAGAAGAAAATCTTGTAAAAACTCAGTCCAGTATTGCATATTCTAAACAGCTGCTAAAAAGGCAGAAACTAGATTTCAGGGCTTGAAGGATGAAACCATTTAGCACAGCTCCGAGCACCCAGGGGGTGTCCAATAAATCTCACCGATGATGACTGAGATGGGGCTCCCAGGCTCCTGGATCCGGCAGGGCCCTCCCGGGATTATACCATTCATCCCTCTGTCTTCAGACAGATTCCATAAAATCAAGCCCACAGAAGCATACCTCCCTCAGCGCTGCTTTCAAAGCCATACAAGGGACACAGGTCCGCAACCTCTCCTGGGTACTTGATCCCAGTGGGAGGCCGAATGGCAGGGGCAAGAGTTTCTCTCTGAGCCTTTATGATCATGACACTGAGGGCTCTGATAAGTAACTCGTGGAAGGAGGTGGGAGTGGGGCGATGCGGGAAAACAACCAGGAGGGAGAAATACAGCTACGCCCTCCAAGGAGAGGGTCTGGGGCAGTGAGGGACACTGAGATGTGGGAAAGAAAGGGCCAAAGCAGGCAGGAAGAGGACTGGGGCAGGAGACAAGTGGTAGGAGAATGAAATGATGAGTCAGAGAAACCGAAGGGGCTGGAAAGTTTAGAGAAGGGCTAGAAAATAGGGGGAAAAGAATCAGAGAAAAAGAGAGCAAAAAGCTTAAAAACAAAACAAGAAAAATCACACCCCCTACCTTCCTTCCACCGAGATGGAGCACTTTAAGCCACAATCGACACCTGAAGAGGACACATGCTCAGCGGAATCAGACGGGCCCTGCAGTAGCCCAGTCCGTAACAATATAGCGATCCTGAAATGGCTTACTGTTTTCTTATGGACTAGCTACAAAATAAATGCAAGCTACTTTCTTTTATCTGAATTGTAATGAATATTAATAGTAAATATAATCAAACAAAATAAAACAAAAATTGCACACAGAAAACTGTTGACTAAAAACTGATGGAAGCAAATCTTTCTGATAAAATTTCTAATTGCAAAATTTGATTTAGAATAATTGGACTTGGTAGATATAATGTCCATAAAAGCAAATTACTAATTGCAGATGCTATAATTGGTTGATATGAGGGGGAAAAAAAAACAAACCTTGATCTGCAAAATGAGGCTTCATTGAAAATTCTACATGGGAAAGGATTCTGATGAGAATAATTTTTAGCAAAAGGAACATTTTAAAATTGGAAACAATTTGACTATGTATATAGGTAGGCCAAACAGATAGGAAGGTTCTGTTCTCTGTGTGTGAAGATGAGGTTATTGGTAATATAAGAAAATGTTGAGTTTTCAGCTTGTTCCTTAGGTGTCTAGAGTCTCAGAGAAGTGTGGTATCTATCCACGGGGAATGAGCGTGGGGGAGACTGTTACCAGGAAACATCTAGTGTTCTTGTGACTTCTCGCAGGGGACGCTATTACCCCGAGAACCAAAAACCACCAGGTCTGCCCCATGGTTGTCAGGTCCTGCCTGGGGCACCTTCCCACGTCCAGAGAGCGGTACTTGGGCTCCAGGGATACACAAGGTGTGGGGCCTTGTTTCCAAGAGGACGGGAAGCAGCACCAGAGAGCTAGAAAAGCCCATCTTGCGAATGGATCTGGTCAGGCTGGGGAAGAAATCAAGGGCCACAGAATCCGTGGTAGGTATTCTCCAGGAGAAACAATAAATAGCACCATATTTGCACCATCTAGAGGGGGAGTCCACAGCTGTGGTCACCAAGAACGGCGGGCCCGGGTTGTGGTGCAGAAAACCACTTTAGACTCCCAGCTTTGGGAACCCACCGAGCCCCTGCACTGCCCCTCATTCATCCTCCCCTGTTTTAGCTTCTATAAAATCAACAGCCTTCACTATCCATGGAAGAGAAGTCTCCCCCTACCCCTGTTACACTTGGTTTTGACTTCTCTTCCC